ACAGGGTCATGGGGGCTCGGAACATGACCTAGCCTAGGAACAGTATTTTTTATTGTCTTGTGTACATAAAATACAAAAACAGCAGCTGACAATCAATAGCAAATAACAGAAGATTCCAAAACTATCTGCCAGAAGGGAAGTGTGGGAGTCGCTGGCTGTGTCGGGTGTCTGGAGACCCTTGTGCGGTGGTCTGCCTTTGTATGGCTGTGCCTTATGTGTATATTTTGGGCAGCTGTGAGGGGCCTGCTGGTAATGAGCAGTCTCACCATGCTATGGGCTCCTGTGCCAGGCAGCTGCCATGCCATGCTTTCAGCAACTGGTGGGTATAGAATCTACAGTCATCTGTAAAAATTGGTTAGCACTGCTGCTATTTCGACTCTCCTCAGATGTCAGAGGAAGCAGAAGTGCTGGTGGGCCTTCCAGATAACTGCTGAAGTAAGGTGTGACCAATTGATGCTGTCAACAGCTTAAGGCACAAGGCATGGGACCCCAGAACATATGGCTACCCACTGATCCGTCATGCCACCCCTCAAACCCACTGATTATTTTCTGATGATGTATACAGGGGTTGGACAATGAAACTGAAACACCTGGTTTTAGACCAGGGGTGGGCAATCTTATCCACAAAGGGCCGGTGTGTATGCAGATTTTTGGGATAACCTGTAGGTCAGCTGTTCAAACCCAGATGTGAGGACTCTTCAGCCAATCAGTCCTCTAATTAGTAATCTAATTAGGGAGTTGCAGCGAGAACCCGCACACATACCGGCCCTTTGCAGATAAGATTGCCCACCCCTGCTTTAGACCATAATACTTTAATTAGTATGGTGCAGGGCCTCCTTTAGCAGCCAATAAAGCATCACTTCATCTTGGGAATGACAGATAAAAGACCTGCACAGTGGCCAGAGGGACTCTAAGAGCCATTCCTCTTATAGAACAGTGGCCAGGTCTCTAAATAATGCTGGTGGAGGAAAACATTTCCTGACTCCCTCCTCCAAAACACCACAAAGTGGCTCAATCATATTCAGATCTGGAATCTGTGCAGGCCATGGGAGATGTTCAACTTCACTTTCATGTTCATCAAACCACTCTCTCACCAGTCTTGCTGTGTGTATTGGTGCATTGTCATCCTGATACACAGCACCACCTTCAGGGTACAATGTTTGAACCACTGGGTGAACATGATCCTCCAGAATGATTCCATAGTCCTTGGCAGTGACGCGCCCATTGGGAGCAAGTAGTGGACCTAGAGAATGACATCTTACTGCAGCCCAAACCGTCACTGATCCAGCTCCATGCTGTATGCATGAGAACAGTCTGGGCCTCTCCACAATGTAACTCTGATATGGGAAAGACAGTGAAGGTGGACTCAGAGAACAAAACATGTTTCACACTGTCCACAGTGTAATGTTTGTGCTGCTGGCACCATTGAAACCGAGGTTTGGCATTGGCATGAGTGAATTAAAATTTGGCTATAGCTGCCCGATCATGAATATCGACCCTGTGGATCTCCTGACGAACAGTTTTGGTGGAAACAAGAGAGTTGAGGTGCGCATTCTGCAGAGAGTTAGGCAGCTGTGGTTTTATGCTTTTTGGATACAATCCGGGTTTGTGCCTGGATATGCCTCTCAGACAGCTTCCTCTTACCTCCAGAATTACTCCTGGATGTGGTCTATCCTTCCTGGTGGTACGCTGACATTACCCTGGGCAACACGGCTCTCAATACAGCACAAAGACTTGCTGTCCTGGTCACCAGTGAGATGCACACTAAAAATTTGTTCTCTTTTAAACTCTTATATGTCTCCCAATTTATTGTGTGGATTGCAAAATTTTATGTACAGCTGTGCTAATGGTCTGCTAATTCAACCTTCACACTCTGCTCTTACGATGGAAAGTGCAATCAGTGAGGAGTGGCGACCAGGCTGCACATATATAGGCATGAAACCTCAAACACTATATCAGCCAGGGTTTCAGTTTCATCATCTAACCCCTTGTAGCTAATTCTTACAATCCTGGTCTATTGAGTGTAGAACCATAAGCATTGAATTCAAAAACGTGGGTCATTCCGTCCCCAATTGCCCCATATACCACATTAGTCAGTGGATTTCAATAATAACAAATGAGGTATATTGACAAAAAGAGGAAGCAAGCTAATTACTTTGGGAGTAAGGCACTTAAAAAAAAGCTGAAAAAAAAACAAAAATTTAACAAAAACAAGTGAAAGTCTTATTTCCGGAATTACCACAAAACTACAGAAAATACAAAATAAAAATATGCACTCACCATCCATCAGACTGCCAGACAGAGAAGCATGATTCGTCACTCCACAGAACATGTTTCCACTGCTCCAGTGTGCAGTGGCTGCATGCAGTACAGCACTCCATCCGACGCTTGGCCTTGTGCTTAGTGCATGCAGCTGCTCAGCCAAGGAAGCCGATTCCATGAAGCTCCCAGCGCACAGTCTTTGTGCTGCGGTTAATGCCAGAGGGAGTTTGAAACTCTGCAGTTATTGAGTCAACAGAGCGTTGGCAACTTTTACACACTATGCATCTCAGCACTCGGCAAACATGCTCTGTCACCTTGCATGGTCTGCCACTTCGTGGATGAATTTCTGTTGTTCCTAAACGCTTCCACTTTGCAATAATAATAGTTGCCAGTGAACGCGGAAAACTAGCAGGAAAAAAAAAATCACAAACTGACTTATTGCAAAGGTCATCCTATGACAGCACCACGCTTGAATTCACTGAGCTCTTCAGACCAATCCAGTCTTTCACAAATGTTTGTAAACCTGTTTTTATACACCTGTGCCAATGGGTCCTGAATTCAATGATTAAGAGGTGTGTCCCAATATTTTTGTCCATCTAATATACATTTGTGGACATAGCACTAAAATATATTTCAGGGTCGGGACCCCAAGACACACCAGCTGGAGCCCCTCAAGCAGTTGAAACACCTGTCTGGAGCAGGTCACCCAGCTGGCCTGGCTGTATGACCTGCATTGTATGTGAAATGTTTCGTTTATTTTGTGAGATGTTGTTTGGTCTTTTGTGATTTTTAATCCAGACTTTTTATTTCAGCACACTCACACAACATTCCTATAGAGGCTGGTTATGGCTCACATCAAGAGCATTGTTCCTTCCACCTTGGATCAAGATCAGTTTGCCTTCTGGGAAACCAATGCTGCATATTCTTCGATTATAGTTCTGTGATCAATACAATCATTCCAAACAAGCTGACCATCCCAAACTCCTTGGCCTAGGCCTAGGATGATAGACTTCCTAACCAAATGTCTTATTACTGTCCAGATAGAGAACCACTTCTCCTCTACCCTCACCCTGAGCACAGATGTAGTTTTCTCTAGGGGTAAGCTGAAAAGTGTAGAGCTATTTTATGTGTCTGATCTTGACAGAATCCTGTGACCCCTGCACTTTATATTATTTTTACGTAGTTTCTCCATTTATATGTTTTTCTTAGAATGTTTTACTATCTCAATATATGTTCACTTTTTCAACTCACTATTTTGTATCGTTTACATCTTTAACATTTTAAAAATATATTATTTACTTAGAATTTTGAATTTTTGAGCATGCTATGTTAAACCACTAGGTGGAAGCAGAGACCACCAAATTACAGTGTGGCTAGTGAAAAATCATACTGGACATAATCGGATTTTAAGTAAACTTGGTCCAGTCATTGTATGATATTTCATACGTAGGGTTGCCAACCGTCCCGAATTGTCCGGGACATCCCGAAATATGGGTGATTTTGATTTGTCCCTTCAGGGGCAGCTCCAGTCCCGTATTCCAATCACAGCCTCGTCGGCCAATAATAGACTACTGTAAGCATGGCAAAACTCATGCAAACGTTGCTATGAGACACGGTTGTTGGTGTGCGTGTGTGTACTGGCCACTAGTGGTGAGAGGTGACAAAATGATAGGCTGTGGTCAAAATGAGCGGTGAACCAGCTAAGAAAAAACGACTGTGTAGCTACAAAAAAGAGTGGGAAACCAAAAAGTTATGGGTCAAAACAGTCACCAGTGATACAGGGAAAGTGTTCTGCTCAGCATGCCGTCGAGAGCTATCTATTAGTCATGGTGGCGAGAATGATTTAACTCGCCATGAAGGCTCTGCGTGCGCACCTGCAAGAAAGTGTCCCTCATTTGGGGTTGAGAAAGTTGGCAACCCTATCTATACGAGATTATAAAGTTTGGTGCCATTTGGAAAATCTCTTGCTGACTTTGAACATTTCATGTAAAATTACACTGTACAACCAAAAATGAAGCGAAGCTTCCAGAATAAACAGCAGGAAATCAAGAATGGATTAGATATACAGTCATCAAGAGCAACCAAAAAATAATTTGAGTCAAATTTTGTTTCCCTCAGTCAGAACACCAATCACTGGGTTGCAAAAGCAAGTCTTGAATATCTTGCAACTGTTGATGATCTTTTGGTGCGTGCTCTACCACTGAATGGCACATAAATAAATGATGTGCATTTTACTGTGTTACATTTTCAATCAATTTATTACTGAACTTCCAAATAAATAAGGGAGCCATTTGAAAATAAAGCCAAAGGAGAGGTTGAAGTCAATATTGTTTTATGTGGGCCGAGCCGCTAGAGCACAAGTTGAAATGTGAACGAAGCCAGTGTGAGTGAATGACTATACGGCCTACAACATCATGGTGACCCTGCGGGGTTGGTTCGTACGTAGCGCCAATTATATATTATATTATATTATATTATATTATATTATATTATATTATATTATATTATATACAAACTATTTCTTCATAAATCTTGAAACTATTCGGTAGATTATTCGATTATTAATATAATCAGTAGTGACGCTATGTATGTGCACTTTTGGATGAATTACCATGCCGAAGACAATGTTTTCACGCTCGTCTCAGTGGGGAAAAATTAGCACTGGGATAACTCCAATTTAACTATTTATCTCGGAGAGAGTGTACTGTGATCTTGACAAACGCCAGTCGAAGGGGAAATCTCCACCCCGCCCCTTTCGTGTCGTAATTCTACACCGCAGCGTCTTTCTGCGGCCATGGTAACATTGCTGTTAACGGACTACTGCACCGACGACACGAAATAACTGCTTTTGATTAAGGTAGAAGCGCAAAATGTGCATGCTTTTTTGTCTGAATAGATACGCCGCGTAATATGCTCTCATAAATTTGTCTATACTTTTTAGTTGCATGAAACGGAGCCTTATACTGTTTTGTTAAGTAATCCCTTTTTGCCGTCTATGGCCTAAATCTGGGGCGTAAACGGCGAAGGGGTTGATGGGTAGTGTAGTTTTATATATTCAGCCTTTAATTGAAAGGAACATGAAAATGTGAGTATTAAACTACAACTCCCAGTGTATATTCATCGATCAATAGATGACCAGGGAGGAACGGTATTATTTATGGATAGAAAATTTTAATTATTTTCACTGTGCGGACACACGATTAAGAGTCGTTGTGAGTAAGCGTTATACTATGAAAATAATGTGCAGGATATATACGATATACCTTGAGAATCCTCTTCTTACTGTTAGTGTATAAACTGAGCTTTATTGTACCCTATAGCTTTATTCTTACATTCTTACATCATTTTCCTCTTTCCTCGCTTCAGCCCTAGTCCGAGTCAGCATCGCAACATCATGAATTTAACAGAGATCTGCGATAATGCCAAGAAGGGGCGGGAGTATGCCCTACTTGGAAACTATGACTCTTCTATGGTGTACTACCAGGGCGTGATGCAGCAGATTTACAAGCACTGCCACACTCTCAGGGACCCTGCACTTAAGATGAAATGGCAACAGGTCTGTTTGCTCATTCTGAATAAGTAAGCTCTACATGGCCGTTTAATGGTTCATTACTCTTTCTAGATTATTATTGCCCTAATAAAAAATAAAATAAAATAAAATATTACAGAGTTTGAGCAACCATAAAAAATACATATTTGCCAAAAAGGACAAAAGAAGCAACTTTGAAGCCATGGACTCAATGTACTTTCTTGGTGATGACACCAGGTGAGGCAGGAGCTGCTGGAAGAGTATGAGCAGGTGAAGAGCATCATGAACACCTTAGAAAGCTTCAAGGTAGACAAGCCTATTGACTTCCCCACGCCGCAGCCAGAGGAGACTCCACGGGATCCTGCAGTCTGGCCTCCACCAGTCCCAGCTGAGCACAGGTCAGCCAATGACAAAAGCAGATGTCAACAGTTACTGACTATAATCTATAATTAATGACATTAAAATAGACTAAAAAGATATGAACAGCAGTGTAACCCATATGTTAAACAGATACCATGGCACATGACACGAGAATAGTGCCTATTTATGTAAGTTTAGACATCTTAAGTACTGGGTTTTCAATATTAAATCGTAACCTAGTATCCACCTGACCTTCTATGGCCGTGTTTGTCAATCCGGTCCTTGGGGGCTGACAGACAGTCCAGGTTTGTGCTCCTTCCCAGCTATCTTTCAGACAGTCCACAATTTTGCTCCCTCCCAGCTTCAAGCAAAAATGTGGACTGTCTGCATGTCCCCGAGGACTGGTTTGGGAAACACTGTTCTATGATCAGCCTGACCCTCTATGACTGTGTTTCCCAATCCGGTCCTCGGGGACTTGCAGACAGTCCATGTTTTTGCTCCCTCCCAGCTCCCTACCGGAACTGTCTGGCAGGGAGCTGGGAGGGAGCAAAAATGTGGACTGTCTGGCAGGGAGCTCGGAGGGAGCAAAAATGTGGACTGTCTGGCAGGGAGCTGGGAGGGAGCAAAAATGTGGACTGTCTGTGAGTCCCCAAGGACTGGATTGGGAAACACTGTTTTATCATCAACCCATCCTCGTCTGTGGTTAATAAGATGGTATGATTCTTTCTGTAACGCCCCCTACAGGGCTGCTGGCCAGGTGAAACGACCCAACACCACGGTGAAGCCCCAGCGGAAGGAATCCCCTGGGCTTCAACACCGCGGTGCCGTGGGCCGGGCGCAGCCAAATCCGAAACCCGACAAGCCCAGGGACGGCAAGGCGGCCAAAGCCAGAGAGGACAAGGTCAGTGACTGATGTCAGTCCATCTTGAAGCCATTTTTACAGCCAGGTTCACATGAGTAAGTGTCACGAGGGTGTTTCATAGTTGGAGACTTTGGGATTTAGTGTGTTTATTTCACCCAGCAAAGGCTGATATTCAAAAGGACACAAAATTGTTTCTGGTTGATTTCACCATAATTGCCTTGTGTTGGCCACGGCCTCTCTGCCACTGGGGGGTGTTTAGGGTAAAAAGAACTCCCAGGAGGGGGCCATGGAAGGTGAGGTGAAGAAGTTTGATGGCACGGGCTACGATAGTGACCTGGTGGAGGCCCTCGAGCGGGACATTGTGTCCAGGAATCTCAACATCCACTGGTGAGCTTAGACCTGTGGCGCACATATGGGTGTTTTAGGTTCACCTGTGGGTCGTTTCCTCTGCAGAGAGCAGCAGGAATCTGCGAGTCGGTCAGTAGTGCCACCCTGTTCTATGGCCACTACTGACCGAACAGGCTGGAATTCACAATGAGGTCATGTCAAGGAAACCATGACTGCAACGAAAGCGTGAACACGAAGCATAGTGCTCGTCGGTCCTGTAGCTTTTAGCTGCTTCTTAAACCAACCTCACTAATGAAATGAAAGCCAAAGTGGTTCATTCAGTGTCATTGGAATTTGGTGATCAGTGTTGACACACCACAGCACAATAACAAAATGTGTCCTCTGCATTTAACCCATATGTGACATAGCAGGGGGTAGCTAATTCAGGCCCAGGGAGTAGTGCTTGGGGGTGGTATCTTGCTGGTCAGGGATTCGAACCAGCAATCTTTCAATTACAAGTGTGCTTCCATAACCATTAGGCCACCACTGCCCCTACTTCAGTGAGTCTGGTAATGAGCTCTACACACTTCAACCGCCCAGAACAGAGTGTGTGAATTCATGGGCTATAATATAGTAAAGAGCCAAACTTAGAACAGGTAAGCTCCTGGTTTTTTTTTTTTTCTTTTTGGAAAACAAAATCTTTTAGGAAGGTGTCAGGTGGAAATGGGAACATGGAGGCTGGTCACTTTGATGATGACAGTGATGAAGATGATGGTGCCGTCTGGGGAGGCTGAGTTGCTGCATGAATGACATGCCTGTGTGGATTGGGCAGGGATGACATTGCTGATCTAGAAGATGCCAAGAAGCTGCTGAGGGAGGCGGTGGTGCTGCCCATGTGGATGCCAGACTTCTTCAAGGGCATCCGGCGACCTTGGAAGGTACCACAGGCTGTGTGTGTGTGTATTATGTTTATATACATTGTGGGGACCAAATGTCCCCCAGAATGTATTAAAAACTGTTATTTTGACGTTGTGGGGACCATTTTTCAGGTTCCCACAAACATCTGTGAATGCAGTCAAATAACTAAAAATATCAAAAGCCTCATATTTTGTTTGGTTACTTATGGTTAATGTTAGGGCTGAGTAGGGGTTAAGGTCAACATGTTTAAAGTTTTCCTCATATATATGAATATAGTCCTCACAAAGATATAATTACAAACCTGTGTGTGTGTAGGTAGGTGTACAGTGCCCTTGGAATGTACTTCAAAAAATTCTGCACATGTACGCGTGTCTGTTAGTTGACAGGTATCACAGAATCTGTGTGTTCTGTTTTGGCATTCGGTTGCCTTGCTAAGGATCTTGGCAAATGTTTGTTTGTGTTTAAGAATGAATCATAACATGGATTGAATTCTTGTTTATTCATCTCTGAGCTCTTGTAGTCATTTATAGCCTTAAATATCACAGTTAAGCCAGGGATAATCCTCCCATGTCAAAACCTACAGTTACTGATCTGCTAATAGTTAGTAACTAATCGTGCCTCATGCCTGTTCAAAACAGCGTCTCGTCAAAAAAAAAAAAAATCACACATATTGACGCTACAGTACCATTACAAGCCAGTAGATGGTGCCAGTGCAGCAAACAAGCAAATCATCCTCCAAGAAGCTGAAGGATCTGTTGTTTGGCCTATTTATTTATTTAGTTAGTTATTTATTTAGTTAAGCAAGCTAATAAATAAATGACTAACTTGCTTCAGTGCTTCGCTTTGACAATTCCCCATGGACATTTCAGTCTGAAGAGTCTCTCCATCTTGTCTGTTACAGATATAAATAAACATACTTTGAATCCTCTGCCATGCTCTGATTGCCGTTTCAGTGGCCTTTGCGCCTAGAAATCTCCCGGGCTCCTCTTCCCAGAGCCCCCTAGCAAAACAGCCTGGGCTCCTGGCTCGAGTTTGGAGTGACGTGACTTTGCAGATTCAGCGTTCGGGGTTTCAGATGTGGCAGCAGGGGTGGCTCAGTGGTGGTTCGAGTCTCTGCCCCAGTTCTCCCCATTTGCATGTTCTCCCGGTGTCATCATGAGGTGTCCTTCAGGCTCTCCAAACAACATGCTAAATTGCCAGTTCAGAATGGTGTAAGCCAGTCTTATCCAGAAAGGGCCACTGTGTGTGCGGGTTTTCGCTGCAACTGATTGGCTGAAGAGTCCTCACACCTGGGCTTAATCAGCTGACCTAAAGTTTACCCCAAAAACCTGCATACAGACGGGCCCTTTGTGGATAAGATTGCCCACCCCTGCTGTAAGCTCTCTGTGATGGGGTGGGGTCATCCAGGGTTACCCGCTGCCACTGGAATAGGCTCTGCATGCATGCGACCTTGCGTAGTATAGAAGGGGGATGTGGCTGCGGGGATGCAGTAACAGGACAGTGGTTAAGGAGTTGGAAGTGTGACCAAATGGCTATTCTCGATTTCAACAAGAATGTGCCTGGACTCAGTGTCACTCCTTCTGTTCGTCGGTCAGGGGGTGCTGATGGTGGGCCCTCCGGGCACGGGGAAGACCATGCTGGCCAAGGCGGTGGCCACTGAGTGTGGGACCACCTTCTTCAACGTCTCATCCTCCACGCTCACCTCCAAATACCGTGGGGAGTCTGAGAAGCTGGTGCGCTTGCTGTTTGAAATGGTGAGGTCCGGGGGGGCAGACAGGGGGGTGGTGGTTCACTGTGCTAGAGTGCATGTTCTGCTGAACGCGGCCATTATGTTACATCATCTGGCTGAAAGAAAACCACAGGTCAGTTGTTCAAATTAACAGAAGTAAATGACCCACGAGCACAGGGGTTTAAAAAGGTTAAGATGACAGAATAAAACAATCAAGGGCTTTAAATGGTTCAGATAACAGCATAAAGGATAACAAGGCCTAAGTGGTGGAGGTAGGAGAATATATACTATCTAAGGATCGGAGAGTTATAGTAATGTTCAAAAGCTTTAGGTAGTCAGTGAAAATTATAATCAAACAATCTTCATGTTGATGCAAACTTCGATACTGTGCATGTCAGAGTATGTCAGCTTAGCTATTTCAAAATCTCCCCTAAAGTCGCCCCAGTATTTTTTTGGTCCAGTGTCTCCACGTATTTGTTGACTTGGCTGCTAGCATACCGTATTTGGGCAATCAGTACCTCATCAAGTTATTTAGCTAACTTTATTAATTAATAGAGCTAGTGGTGAAAATAAATAAATACGTGGAATGGCTGAGGTGCCCTTGAGGAGAGGTTTGGGAACCAAAGCGGTGTCCATCTAGCCATCCAACCAGATATCCAGAGACATTTTGGAGAACAGAAGAAATTCTTGTTATTATATTTATTTTTTTGTATTACTGTTTATTTGCATGTATTCTAATGTTAAATTTTGTTTCTGAGCAAATATACACTTAATACCCAGATAAGATTAGGGCATTTTCCTTGACTGTTTGTTATCTGCACATGTATCGAAAGAACTGAGGATGTTCCATGAAACACGATTTCTCAATTAGCTGGGTTAACTTAAGCTAGAAGTCATGATCATCCAGTAAGAGTTTAGGTAAAGAAAATTCCTATTGGACAGTTATAGCTTCTAGTTTATATTAATCAGCTAACTGAGAAAGCCTGCTTTATGGATCGCTCTGCAGCTATGGGTATTTGACTGTTTGTTTACCTGTTGGTCTGTTTTCATTCCGCTTTCAATTACATTTTGAATCCAAACTCTTTCCAGGCCAGGTTCTATGCCCCGACGACCATCTTCATAGATGAGATCGACTCTATCTGCAGCCGCAGGGGCACGTCTGATGAGCACGAGGCCAGCAGGCGTGTGAAGTCAGAGCTGCTCATACAGATGGATGGTGAGGTCAATCCCAGGCTGGTGGTATATGGGGTCACGACCCCATCCTGAAGGGATTTTCCTTATAAGCTGGGAGGGCTGGAGTACAGGAGAGATAATGAGAGGACTAAATGGGGGGATCAGAGAGCAGGGAAGCAGGGATAAGAGGGAGAAAAGGATGGGGAGAGAGGGAAGTACTTCTTGAAGTTAAATGACAACAGTTGGTCCTGAGGCAGAGGTCCCCTTGCAGCCTTTCTGTATAACTGTGACTGTTTGCTGAGTACGTCTGTATGTGATCCCTGTCACCTCCATCTGCTCACACACATGCTGATGGCACACCCGCCCACACACCCCCCCCCCCCCCCCCCCCCCCCCCCCCCCCCCCCCCCCCCCCCCCCCCCCCCCGCCCACTCGCTGTCCTAACAATCCCGCAGCGACGTACGCCATCTTACCCACGAGGCGCGTTCCGAGCGACCTTCGGCTTCTGGCCCGCCGTCCCCGGATCGCTCCTGCGTTTGTTTTGGCAGCACATTCCCGATGATCTGTCACCTAGTTGCTGTCCGCCTCGGGTGATAAAGGGGACCTTTACACCAAACAACAGAAAGTGGTCCTGCTTACGGCGCTGAGTGGGGCAGCACGGGCACTGGTCGATACTCGGGCGCGTCTCTGCTTGTCTCAGGCGTCGGAGGAGCGCTGGAGAATGATGACCCCTCCAAGATGGTGATGGTGCTGGCTGCCACCAACTTCCCCTGGGACATCGACGAGGCGCTGAGACGCAGGCTGGAGAAGAGGATATACATTCCTCTGCCCACAGGTGAGACCTGCACACACACACACACACACACACGTTTGTATTCATACCTTTGTGGGGACCATCCATTCATGTCTATGGGCACAACCCTAATCCCAGCTATTACAACCTTAACCTTCCCAGCCCTAACCTTAACCATAATTAACCAAACAAAATACTAGACTTTTGATATTTGTAGTTTTTGATTGCAGTCACAGATGGACTGGGCTGAATTGTCTGTAGCTTCTGAAGACTCCACCCTACATGAATTCAGCCAACAAGTCATCATCAGGATGGAGATGGCAGAGGTTGTAAATTTGGTTTCTGCTCTCCTTCCAGCCAAGGGTCGGGCGGAACTGCTGAAGATCAACCTACGTGAGGTGGACCTGGCCCCTGACGTGAATCTGGCCCTCATTGCCGAGAAGATCCAGGGCTACTCCGGAGCAGACATCACCAGCGTGTGCAGGTCTGAGATCAGTCTGCTTTGCGACGTGTGTTCGGTCTATTCTGACAGTGTTCAGTCTATATTCCGTCCATATAATAATATCCTGCTGCATTTAAGGACATTAAATGTTAGCAGAGCTGGCAGCAGAGTGAGCTCTTCTGACATTTCTAGTAATATTTAAACAATATTTAGCCACGATTCACAGCCGTCTCTCAGTGGCAGGTGGAAAGAGAATCCCTGAATAGGCCAAGAAGAAACGCGACTGAAAGATGACTAGGCATGGGGGAGGGAAAGGGCTGGCTGTTTTACTGTAACGGAAATAGATTATTTCTCTAAATCATTAGTGTGACTGCAATGGGCTGGCCCCCCGTCCAGGGTTGTTCCCTGCCTTGTGCCCGTTGCTTCCGGGATAGGCTCCGGACCCCCCGTGACCCGGTAGGATGAGCGGGTTGGACAATGGATGGCTGGATGGATCATTAGTGTGAAATAAGTCAAATCAACTATTCACATGTGAATGTCAAGTAATATTGTTTAAAACGACACATTTTAAAATGGGCTTAACACTTTTGTTCCATACAAATTTGTAGCCGCAAAGTCTCATATAAATGTGTATCCTGGGTTTAAATACAAAGGTCGTAAAGTTTTGCAGTGACACATGATTGCGTGTTTGGCAGTGGTCCATCACAGTCATGCACTAGATGAGCTGTTATGGAAGATGGACGAGCAGAAAACGACCTTTCTCTGCTTTCGGTATATGGGAGACCTAGAGCTGTCAGTTGGTAGAAAAAGTGTTTTATTTTTATGTACGCCTTGGTTATTACACATGTATACAGTTAATTCATTTAAAATCCTGTGTGTTTTGGTTGTGTTACTTCTACTTTATTGTCATTTTCATGTGAGAATCACGCAGCGCGCGAGAATCCCGTGAGAGGATGTGTGTGCGTGACGTGACTCTTAAAATGCCTGCAAAGGAAAGTCTTCCTCAATGACCATTCAGAAAATGAATTAAGGGCACTTCATGTTCACTGGACAGGGAACAAACTAAGAGAGGGACGGGGGGCAAAGTCAATCCATTGAAGATCATCGGCCTCCTGCTCCATTAGTCAAATGATAATAATATTGGTGTATATGCAGAGTTATTTAAAATGCAGTGATTTTTCACTGGGCACGTATCTAATTTGTGTTTATGCATTGACTCATGTGACGTGACTGATTTTTAGATCCTCTGAAGCGAGATTAGTTAGCAGTAAAGCGATTTCCCCCTGCAGTTAGCATTCACTGACATTTTTTAATCCCCGTTCTGTAGTTACCAAGATTTAAATATTAATGCGGCATATTAGGTCAGTTCCTGTTGGCCGTGATGCGGCTATTTTCAGAAATATGGGTGCCAGTCTGTACCCTGCAAACCCCTCCCTCCACGTGCCCCCCAGCTCCATTCTCTTATGTAGTCTACAAACAGCTGGTAGAGGAGGACGTGGAAGGAGGTCACGGGAGGTCACAGTGGGAGTGTGTCACAGGCTGAAGGCGGAGTACCCACAATTCCCATGGGTACGCCAAGTGTCATGTCAGTACTGCCAACTGCTGTGACACACTCCCTTTGTGCTTAATGTCGTTAATGATCATCTTAATTCATTTTATGCGCTGTGTGTATTTATATTTGCTATTGATATCAATCTGCGTCAGCTAGGCTAACAGGTTGTTCTGCCAGTAAAGCTGAGTTTGAGCATTTAAGCGCTTTGGCAGTGCAGGCTGCACGTCGTGCCAGAGAAGCTGGCAGGACTAATCTGGAGCAAACCCATTGACAGGTGGGCAGCGCCAGTGTATTTATTTTTTTTCATTTGTGATTGATGTGCCGATCATTATACTGGTAACCAAAATTATTTATCCCCACCCACTGCATGCCCAGGGATGCTTCTATGATGGCCATGCGGCGACGCATCCAAGGCCTGACGCCTGAAGAGATCCGAGCCCTGTCCAAGGACGAGCTGCAGATGCCAGTCACCATGGAGGACTTTGAGCTCACCCTCAGGAAGATCTCAAAGTCTGTCTCTGCTGCTGACCTGGAGAAGTACGAGTCCTGGATGGCTGAGTTTGGGTCGGTGTAGGGAATACCACACCTGCTACCTGCGATGGCTGAACCGTGGATTGGAGAGGATGTCGTCGTCAAGTTCTAACACTATTAACCTTCCGGAAATCGTCGTTTGCCCAGAGGCCTCTCGGGTGGAGACTTGCGGCCGACGTTGCGGCCTAGGCCTTTTGTGATGCATCCGTCAAGCCCCCGTGGGTGGGATTCCTGCAGGGTAGGACGTCCCGACCCATTTGGCTTCATTCATTTTTAATTTAACTTATGTTTTCATCCATTCTGACGAGTGCTTGAATGGATCAGAATGTGGCGACTGAGAGTAGCAGCCGTGTATTTGTTGAATGTCTAGGAAACATTGACTTGTCTCTGGAGCTGTTTCTGCCCGAGTTTATCTGGGTGCCTGAATACACTGTATTTTTGTCTTTAGTTTTAAATGTTATGGACCGTAAGAGACATGGTTTGTAAAATAATAAAATAACAGAAGAAACATTTTACCATTTTCACTGTTCTTTCCTCTGTCGGACTTGGCATCTCCCACAGGCCTGTTTGCAAGACAAAGCCTTGTTGTTTGACAATACAGGGCTGACCAATCAAATCCACTGTCTGTGTTTGTTAGGAAGGACCCACCAATTAGAGAACAGCGCTGGCTGCCGGCTTGCTGATCTCCCACGTAAAGGCAGGAGTTATTAGACCCAGAGAGTGCAAATGCTAGATTCGGCTCCTGTACCGACACTCCTTTTTCTCTGTCTGCTTTGGACCAGCAGGGGGGGGCCACAAGCGACACCCCACTGCTGAGAGGGGAGGCCGTCGCCGGACAGAAATTGAAAGGAAATCTGTGATTTTGAGCAACTGCCTGGCTTGGCTTAATGTGTAAATGTGTGAGGTCCCTGAAATGGCTTTCTGTAGCGAGGTGCCAGCGTGGATTAGGTACTGATGTTAAGAGAGTGTGTGGGATTGGGGGGGTCACCGTGGCAACGCCTACCTGCAGCGTGCCAGCTCTGAGGGATTGTGTGTGCGTGCCAGTGTGTGTGTGTGATCGCTAAAGAGGTTGACAGGGAAAGTTTTTGCCCCCTCCCATTCTTATGGTTGCACAGCATGACCAAGGTTAACCACGCAGTTCCAAGAGAGGAAGAAAATGATGAATACAAATGGGATGCGACTCATTCCGAAGCCATGGCAACAGAGGAACGATGCAGAGCCGACATGTTACCGACCGTCCGTCCCCCCCCCCGTCTGCCTTCCTTTCTTTCTCTCGTGACTCAGTTAAAGCAGAACGTTCTCTGGTGGCTTTATGGGTGGGGGAGGGAGCAGGGGGGGGGGCAGATGGCATGACAAGCAGAAGTACAGTGAGTCGGGAAAGCATCAATGCAGAACTGAATCGAAGTTGGGGGGCGGGGGGGGGGTTATTGTCTGCAAGCTGCCGGAGGGCTGCGGAACGCGGTGGAAGATAAGATACCGCATGAGGTTAGTAACACGTCGTCACTTAGCTGTCAGATTCATCCACAGGGGTTGCATCTGTGCTTTTTATACATATGGATCAGAGGTACAACAGCAACACCCCGAGAATCAGCGGGCAGCACTAGCAATATACTATTACTGTTTGGTGTAAATAGGGTCACAGTGATGACGAAGCCAGTTTGTAGCAGATATTTACTTTTTTACTCATTTATCTGGCACTTGCATCCAAAGTGACTTTCGATAGAGGGAAAGATGACAGTTACATATGATCCTTGGGATTTGACCCCACAACTTTTGCATTAACACAACGCTCTACTCTGAGGTACAGGAGTAAGTAGAATATCACTGTTTTTTTGTGTTTTTTTTAAGAGCTCGCGAGAGGAGATCAGTAAGTGTACTAAGATGAACTACAGGCAGTCGCAGCTGTCCATAGAAGGTGTTGGATGTGCATGTGACACACAGGACTGCTTACAAATCTACACACACTTACCGCTGTTCAAGTAAGCCCACTGCCCTCAGGGCTGAAGCTCAGCTGGAGGGGGGCATATCACAAGACATATAATGTGTTTATTTTTATGCCATCATAAAATGGGTGTCTGTGTTCATGGGAAGGATTAACTGCCCCCAACGGGACGGTAAACAACGGCTCTGACCTGCAGCTGCCACCCTCCATGGATTCGTCAAGCATTATAAGCATGGCTATAAATAATTGTCAAAAGGCATAACACATTACAGCCATGTTTATTATGTATTATGACTGCCTTATGAAGCTCCCATCTATAATGTACTATAGATACCTTCATAATGCATTATAATAGTGGATATTAGCATTAAGGATGCTTTGCATTATAAAAGAATCTATTGTGCATTATAGATGAGAGCTTCATAAGGCAGTCATAACACATAATCATGGCTGTGATTTGTTATGCCTTTTGACAATTATTTGTAGTCATGTTTATTTTGCTTTATGAATGCATTATAATGCATTATGAATGTGTTTATATATTACTAAAACATGGCCTTAAGTGTTACCAAAATGATTTTGTCAATTTATTTACTGTATTTGTTTCCTGTTTTTGTTTATCACACCACTGTATTTGTTTATGTGAATTATATAAACTCAGAGAAAATCAGGCATCTTGTTATGTATCTGTATGCTTGAGCTTACTTGTCCTCTGTTGTTTACATTATTATGACTATTACTGTTTTGGTCCCTGCCTGATGCATATTTAAGTTTTACCTTTATATTTTTAGGCAATTCACTGTTCAATAGCAGGGCCCGTCTAGGATTTGAAGGCCTGTGTACTTAATCACCACCCTGCTGTATGTGCATGGACTGGCACAAAAGTTGTCCTCCTCATGTGTGCCAGTTCACGGGTGCTTCTGGAGGGAGGCCTGACTGGGTAAAGCAATCCCCCCTCCCAGCCTGCCAGGTGGCTGCTCAACTACTTTGTCAACCGCTTGGATGTCGGTTCTCATGATTTGCTGACTGGGCCGTCTTCCACACATGCCCAAGCCAGACAATGTTAACTTTCTCCCCAAATAACTTTGCTTGTTACTCAACACCTGAAAATTATTGGTTCAGAGAGATAACCAATCAGATTGTAGAAGTGGTGGGACCAACAAATCAAATGTCTTGATCCCACCTCCTCTACAATCTGATTGGTTATCTCTCTGAACCAATCATTTTTTATTTTTCCCTCAGAACATTTTTGTGTAAATAAAATACCCATAAACCAATGACACACACACACACAGATACACACGGGAAGGAGAGTGGCACACAAAAAACTGCATGAATGGTTTAATTTTCATTGATTTATTATCTTTTATCTGATTTTTCCCCGCCACTTTCAAATTGTCATTTACCCTGAACCGATAATGGACCTGAACACCATCTCTATAAAACACTCATTACACAGAATCTGCTTCAATGTCTCACTCAAAACCGCATACAGTTTTGTCTAGTTTCTGACTCTGGTAGTATTACTTTTTGTTCTACTTCCCTTATAAGTTTGTAGAACCAAGAAGTAAGTTTCCTCCAATGTGTGTGTGTGTGTGTGTGTGTGGATTATGTTTATAATGTTCCTTACAATGTAATAACCTGTTATTTTGATGTTGTGCGGACTACTTTTAGGTCCCCACAAAGTGGCAAAAGCCATGTATTTTGTTTGGTTATTTATGGTTAAGGTTAGGGCTGGGTAGGGGTTAAGTTTGTCATGTTGGGATTAGAGTTTTCTCTGTAAAAATGAATGGAGAGTCCCCACAAAGATATAATTACAAACCTGTGTGTGTGTGTGTGTGTGTGTGTGTGTGTGTGTGTGTGTGTTTGACTGCCTGGCCGTCTGTCTGTAGTTTTGTTTGTAAAAGTCATGCTATTAAAAATGCCTTTTAAAATGTATTCATACTCAGTTGCACCCTTAGACTTAGCAGTGGTTTAATGAAGCCAGTATTGATCTTCTTTTTTCCTCGGACCCTGTTGAAATAAAATCCGTATATTGTGGCTGAGTCTTGGGTTTTAGTTTCCTTTTTTGATGTCAGTCTAGCAGAAGTGAAACCGTGTCTCTGTTAGCATGAGCAGAGAGCATGGCTGAGCTGGTAAATTCTTAGGCCAGCAGTGCGTCAGCTAATTTACAGTTATTAATGTTTTTTTTTCCTGTAAAGGTCTAAATGGGGGACTAGATCATAAGTAACTACTTTCCTTTCCTCTCAACAACTGACCCTGTCTACAAGGCATACAAGGAAAGAAAAAATAAACACAAAGTGCCATTTTCACAGCATGTGTGAGATGTAGCGCTGGCGGTCGTCAAGATTAGATGAGCGTTTCAAAAACCACAGTAGCTTTTGTGCCTAGAGGTCCCATCCTCCTCTTATTTTGTTTGCCTGTGCACAGTTCATGTATGCACATCTGCTCACTGCCTATGAGTGCACAGTTTGAGATGGAACAGAAACGGGTTAAAATGCACAGTTCATGTATGCACATCTGCTCACTGCCTATGAGCGCACAGTTTGAGATGGAACAGAAACGGGTTAAAATGCACGCTAAGGAGATTAGCGGAGCAGACTTGGGGTTTCGTGTGCTGTGTTTGAACAAGGATGACAGGGGGTTCGAACGTGGCCCCTTTAACAAGCTGGTAAAGAGCACAGACGTGCCGCTGGTATAAATCGGCCTTGGGTGTGCGGAACGGCATTACCATCCTGCACGCAGTGTGAGTGCCGCAGCTCCAGTAGCTAAGGGAAGTTTGATTTAAGTGCAAATATGAGGCCATTTTCAAGATGATATCAAAAGCTCCTGATTAGAAACACTGAAAATGCTTACGGCCTAGACCAGGTGTGGAGAGTTGCCAAAATGAACCCCTCCCACGTTCTCAAGGAGAACCCAGATCATCCATTGTGGAAGGTATGGCACATCACAGTTATTGGATAAGAAGTCACTGTGACAATGGAACCCTTATCAAATGATCTCTGACAATCTTCGACAATACCACCTTGTAGATAATACAAAAAAAACCCAATAGCGTTTTACAGCATGTGTGCTTTAAAAGACTTATTTTACATTAGTTATAAAAAAATGATAAAAAGTCCCTTCACTACGACTCATTTTCTCACTCGTGGTGGCATCAGAACACATTTCCAGATATGACAGTCCCATCAGGCCTGTTCATTTAAAGCCTGTGATTGACAGCATGAAAAATAAGTGAAGTTACTAATACTGACACTGATGCTGATGTCAGGAGCGAAGGTCATCTCCCCGCTGACCTCGCCCACCTGGCCGGTCACAGGTGGCTTTGACGGTCCCAGGTTCAGCTTCATACTTAAGCTCTGGTGAATAGTTAATTCCAGTAAATGTAGAGCAATGGTCTCCAACCCTTTTTATGGAGTTCGGGGTGGACTGTCCCCGTTGATAAATTGGAAGCTGGATTGCGATCAACCAGTTTGGAGACGTCCACGTTCAAGTGTTTATTTGCACTATGCAATGAAAATCTTACTTTGCATGTCCTTCCGTCCGTCCATCTGGATGGAGAATATGCAAACG